TAATGGTTAAAGTCTTATATTCTTTCTAATTTCCACATTAGCCTCTGTTGCTCTTGGAATTCTCAGATTTCTGTCGGTTATTGCTCTTAAAATTTCTTTTGTTGCTACGTAATTTTATATTTTTATTGATTTCAGAGAGGAAGGAGAGGGAGAGAGACATAAACATCAAGGATGAGAGAAAAGCATTATCGGCTGGCTCCTGCACACCCCCTACTGGGGATCGAACCGTGACTTCCTGGTTCATACCACTGAGCCATTCTGGTCGGGCACTACATAATTTCACTTACTAATACATTACTTGCTTATGTACTTTATGCAACATTAATTATTAAAATAACTATAAGACAAAATAGATTTACCCTGTTTTCCCGAAAATAAGACAGTGTCTTATATTAATTTTTTCTCCCAAAGTTGTGCTAGGTCTTATTTTCAGGGGATGTCTTATTTTCGGGGAAACACGGTAGCAGGAACCATAACCATTATGAATCTACTAGTGTTCATAGCACAGATTTGTGCACATTGAAAGTAATTAGAAGAAATATTTTAAAATCACTATTCGTCCTTTCTCTATAATAGAAGTCTCAACCAAATTCACAATTGACAATAACAGATCAAAACACACACATGCAATTGGCGCCATTAAGAGCTTTATATGTATCGTGCATGCACGAGTCAACTTAGCCTTTTATAGATATATAATAGAACAAAGTTGCTTAATTAGACCTGCTTTCTGATTTAGCTAACCTTTTTCCAGCCCAGTGAAGCACCCCAACTTCTCTGTCAGGTAATTGTTAGCAACACAGCAATAAATATCATCACAAAGTATATTATTTTTGTAGATCATGCAGGGAGAACAAAGGGTAAAATATTTAACTGCAGCAGTGTTTGACTATATTCTGCACAGTTAGAAAACCTAAAGTCATTTTCAACTTCTTACTTCTTTTCAGTCAGGTAAAGTTTCTAAGCTTTCTAAATCTCCATTTTATGGCTGATGAAAAAAAAAAAATATAGGATTCCACAAAGTCTCCTATCTACTTAGTCCGGGACTTCTGTGAGACTCAAATGAGATGAGGCATGGGAAAACCACTTCACAGACATGTGGTTAAAGTGTAAAATCTTTGCACCTGGCTATAAAGTAAGTCCTGTTCCTGGCCTGAAGAAACTCTAAGGAGGTAAGTTGCTAGGGAAAGGAAGCTGAGCATTGCTAACATGATGTCATTACCTGACGTCCACAGTGACTGTTTCCAGCCTGCACCCTATCCAATCTGGGACCCCTTGGGGGATGTCCGACTGCCCTGGGGGATCAGAGCTAAACCCACAGTCAGACCTGCTCTCACAATCCAGGACTGCTGGCTCCTAACTGCTCACCTGCCTGCCAGCCTGATCACCCCCTAACTGCTCCCCTGACAGCCGATTGCCCCCAACTCTCTTCCCCTACCAGCCCGTTCACCCCCAACTGTTCTCCCCTCCTGGCCCAATAACCCCCAACTGCCATTCCCTGCTGGCCTGATGGCCCCCAACCAACTGCCCTCCCCTGCCAGCCTGTGGTGGCCACCTTGTGATGGTGGCCATCTTGTTGTGGCCATCTTGTGATGACGTCGTGCGAGGGCGTCACATGAGGGCTTAAAGCCACCTAGGCTTTTATCATATAGGATACTGTCTAAATAACTGAGATTATTCATTTCCATTATTCAGAACCCTTTTTTTTTTAAACCTCCTTTAGATAAGGTACTCATAAATTCTGTTCTTTTTTAAAATTTCTTTATTGATTATGGTATTTCATATGTGTCCTTATTCCCCCTTATTCCCCATTCATGCCCTCACCCTCCCCCAATTGTCTGTGTCCATTAATTAGGCTTATATGTATGCATAAGTCTTTGGTTGATCTCTCCTCCTTAACCCCACCCTCCTTTACCTTCCCTGAGGTTTGATGTTCTGATCAATTTTTCTCTGTCGCTGGATCTGTTTTTGTTCATCAATGTTTTTCACTGTTCCTTTTTTTAAAATTTGGAAAATCCTATCTTTCTTTAGTAATAGTCTTTAACTCCATTTTACTGAATGTAACTATTATAAAATTTCAACATATTTTCAAAAAAGAAACATGAAGTAGTATTGACAGCTATGGGAAGAACTTAAGTACAGAATATAGCAAGCTAGCCTTATTGCAGTCTATGTGAGATTAGATATTTTAGACATAGTTGGATGTCAAGGGAAAAGGGAAATAAAACCGTAGTTCTCTTAATATCTTTGTAGTTTTCTGTGGAAAGCTTTTTGTAACAACCATTATGGTTTAAAAATTAGCAAGCAGAAGAATCACTCATGTTTTATGAATACTGTCCCTGCAAAATGGCAGGCCATCATTGCATCTGACTTCCAGAAGCCAAGTGACATAAAATTTATAAAAGAGAATTACAACAATATAAGAAATCAGCCGAAACCAGTTTGGCTCGGTGGATAGAGTGTTGGCCTGCAGACTGAAAGGTCCCAGGTTCAATTCCGGTCAAGGGTATGTACCTTGGTTGCGGGCACATCCCCAGTGGGGGTGTGCAAGAGGCAGCGGCAGCTGATCGATGAATCTCTCTCATCGATGTTTCTAACTCTCTATCCCTCTCTCTTCCTCTCTGTAAAAAAATCAATAAAATTTGTTTAAAAAAAAAAAAAAAATATATATATATATATATATATATATATATATATATATATATATATGAAATCACTTCAGCCCTAACTGGTTTGGCTCAGTGGATAGAGTGTTGGCCTGCGGACTGAAGGGTCCCAGGTTCGATTCCCGTCAGGGGCATGTACCTTGGTTGTGGGCATATACCCAGAAGGGGGTGTGCAGGAAGCAGCTGATCGATGTTTCTCTCTCATCAATGTTTCTAACTCTCTATTTCTCTCCCTTTCTCTCTGTAAAAAATCAATTAAAATTTAAAAAAACAAACAGATAATTTTGTTTTTGCAAAAGCACATTACTTGGAATTTGAGTTCTGAGCCACTGCTGGAACAAGGGGGATAACATGGCACATCACTAATCCTGTGCTGCAGGAGTTGTGACCCGATAAAGATGAGGCCGCACACCAGTTACTGTAATGCAGCCCGTGTCATACAGGGCCAGAGACAGGACTCGGCGGAAACGAGTTTACTGCAGGCTCCTGTTATAGGGCAATGCATCGATTTTGTTAGGGGAGAGCATGAGTAGGCGTGGATGAGAGGAAAATGTTCCAACCGATGGAAGCTGTAAGTGCTCTAAGTGCTGTATTAGGGAGATGAAGAATTGATCGGTCTGGTCACAACCGTGGGCTTATTTATCGATAGAAGGCAGTGGAAACCCTAGCATATTTGGGTCAGTGGATAGAGCCTCGGCATGTGGATTGAAGGGTCCCAGGTTTGATTCCGGTCAAGGGCATGGACTGTGGTTGCAGGCTCGATCCCTGGCCCTGGTTGGGGCACATGCAGGAGGCAGGCAACTGATATGTCTCTCTCACATCCATGCTTCTCTCTCTCTCTCTCTCTTTCTCTCTCTCTCTCTCTCTCTCACTTCCTCTCTCTCTAAAAATCAGTGGAAAAATATCCTCCGGTGAAGTTTAACAACAACAAAAACCAGAAGGCAGTAGAAGACAGGGTTCCGGTCTGTATCCTCAGTCGTGGTGAACGCACTAAATCGCTGGGAAAGATCCTGCCTGAAGCAGACCAGCTGACGGTCTGGACAGTCAGAGAGTCTCTCCCCTAGAATCTGAAAATTATAACTGATACTGGGAAGTTAGTGAAGATTGACATTATAACGTATAATGATTAAATTTTTAAAATTTTGAGCATCATTTAGAAGCTGGGGCCAAGCATTTAATTTACTGGTGACGTTTTTATTTTTATTTTTATTTATTTATTTATTTTTAATTAATAGGAAACCAGACCTAGGAATCCTTATCTTACAGAGCTTTATTTTTTTTTATTTTTATTTTTTTAAATATATTTTTATTGATTTTTTACAGAGAGGAAGGGAGAGAGATAGAGAGCTAGAAACGCCGATGAGAGAAACATCGACCAGCTGCCTCCTGCACACACCCTACCGGGGATGTGCCCGCAACCAATGTACATGCCCTTGACCGGAATCGAACCTGGGACCTTTCAGTCCACAGACCAACGCTCTACCACTGAGCCAAAACGGTTTCGGCACGTTTTTATTTTTAGAAGTTTGTATTACTTAACTTCTCTTTACCAGGAAAAATGTTTCTGTGGCCATTAGCTCTGGCATCCGAATTGCTACTGCTCTTCTGGGATCCAGAAGTAGTTTCAAAGTTATCAGGCCAGAGTTTGAAGAGGAAAGCTTACCCCTTTAGCCAGCAGTTTCATATCATGAACACATGTGTCTTCCTGTTCAGTTCTGTTTTATTTGGGACCCGCTAGGACTTCAAATTACACACGGTTATTCCATTTTTTTCTTTGGGAGAATCAAGTTTTTGGTCAGCTTCCAACCTGCATAAACCTCCATACTTCTGTTTAAATCTATTTTTTGTTGATACTTTTGATTATAATTCTGCAAAAAATGGTTTCTGTGTGTGCTGATAGAAGCAGTCAAATGTCAGCATCGTCTTAATCAGGCCAGTCGCTGTGTTTTCTGAGGGTTTTCACATATTTAGTTTTATTTGAAAATTGTATTGTTAGCAGGCATCATTGCTTTAAGGTGTTCCACCATAAGCTATTTTGTATTTTACTTTTAAAAAATTGCCGAGCTGAAACCAGTTTGGCTCAGTGGATAGAGTGTCGGCCTGCGGACTGAAAAGTCCCAGGTTTGATTCCGGTCAAGGGCATGTGCATTGGTTGTGGACACATCCCCAGGAAGGTGTTTGCAGGAGGCAGCTGGTCGATATCTCTCTCTCATCGATGTTTCTAGCTCTCTATCCCTCTCCCTTCCTCTCTGTGAAAAATCAATAAAATATATATATTTTTTAAAAGTTAAAAACCACTTACCCTAACATTGGTACTTCATTTACTTCCTCAAGGACTTTCCTCGGGAGATGCCGCACCTGTAATGCAAGAAGACGTGCTGAGTGCATTCACACATGCGGATGGCGGGGAAGAGTCCGCCAAAGGACATGCTCACGACCAGCCAGAAGCCCCGACCCCAGCTTTGCAGTCTCTGTTCTCGCTGATCCGAGGTGAAGTGGAGCAGTTGGACTCGAGAGCACTTCCCCTCTGCCTTCATCAGGTACTGTGTTAAAGCCTTCATTCTTCTAAAATTCTGGGGCCATTGTTAGTAACGACCTGAATCCAGTCCCGTCATTGATTCTGTCCTTGGGGAGCCCATGAGAAGGGACCTGGGCACGTGGGTGGTGGGAAATTTGAATATTACTGAATAGTGGCCACTCAGTGGACATAGATAATCAATAGTTCCGATAACCGCTAGCTTCTTTTATTTAGGGAAGAAGCTGTTCGCAAGGTAGAGCCCATGTAGCGAGCACTTAGCACCAGGTAGGTGCCGAAAACAGCGCCAGAGACCAGGGAAGCAAGATTACCTGCCAGGTGTAGCCTTCAGAGAGCCCCTGTGGAAGGGGCGACGCAGCTGTGTGGGTAAAAAACTGTGAAAGTCTGAATTCAGTGTTGGAGTAGACAGATGCTTAAGGTTCAGCAAGCCTAGAATGTGTGGTTAATTTCATCCCGTAGGTCTGAGGGACTTGCAGGATGTGTATGCCAAGCATGTCAGACTCAAAGGCTGACACCGGCCAAATAAAGGTGGCCTGTGGTCCGAGGGCCTCGAGTTTGACATGCTTGATGTAGCACTTCCTGGGAGAACAAAGTGAGGTGGTGCAGAAAGAGAGGTCACCGTGGGGTTTATCGCTGGAGGTTAACGTGGAAAGAGATGGGAAGTGAAAGTGGGTAGCTGGCAGCGTTGAGGCTTTAGGGACTGAGGGAGTTTCATGATGGGAGTGCCAGGATCGAGTTTGAATTTTAGAGATAGAACTCTCTGATGACTGGGATGGTAAGTGAGGCGATGGGGAGCCTGGAAGTCAGGAGGCCTTAGGACAGTGATGAGGGAGCTTTCTTTCTTACACAACAGCTAATTCAAAAATAATAATAATAATAATGAATTTATGAGCTATGTTTTCTTTTCCCTTAAAATGAAAATAGCTGGTATAGGGGGATGGAAAAAGCTTGGCCTTTTCTTCATTTACTTCTGTTGCATTTTAACTTTTGCAATGAGTAGTAAGTAATGTTTAATTTTTTAAAAGTAAAATAGAAAATAGCTTTTGTCTCAAGGCAGGAAAATGTATCCTATATAATAAAGAGCAAATATGCTAATGATTGTGATGCCCTCCCACTGTAAGAACCCATCAGCAGGAGGCTGCATGGGCAGCAGGCATGGTAGGTGGGGACTTGATGCTGCATCCCCACCCTGCGCTGGCCAGGGTGTGTCCTGTGTCCCCCCACCAGTGGGGCTTGATGGGGGTGGGGCCAGCCGGGTCTGGGTCTTGCCCAGTGGGAGTGAGGCTGGCCGGGTACCCAATTTCTTCCCTTTCAATGTGCATGAATTCCATGCACCGGGCCACTAGCATTCTTATAAATTTTTATTGCCTCCTTTGTGGGCTTGAATGCCTTTGAGAAAAGGGGTGCTGTTTTTTAACCTCCAAAACCTTCTAACTTGCCTGTCTGGTGTGGCTCAGCAGTTGAGTGTCAACCCAGGAATCAAGGCCACAGGTTAGATTCCCTGTCAGGGCACAAGGTCGGATTGTGGGCATGGTCTCCAGGAGGGGGCATATGGGAGGCAGCCGATCACGATGTTCCTCTCTCATTGATGTTCTATCACTCTCCCTTCCTCTCTAAAAATCCATAAAATCATGTTTGAAATCTTCTAGCTTGCCCTAGTTGAGCAGCGCCAACACCAACACATTCAGCCTTCATGAATTTGTACAGTAGAGACTTTGCAAACGGTAGTCACACTTCCTGTCACTCATCCTCCCAACAGCCATAGCGGTATTAGCATCACCCATTCACAAATGGCAAAGCAGGCTCTTTTACAAAGCAAGTTTCTTCTCATTCTGGGGCTGGAACGGGTTTATTCCATTCATTGTATCTGTTTTTGTAACACCTTGGGTAAAATTTGAATCTGGGCTATTTCCTAGGTTACATTGTTTAATCACATCTAATTTCTTGAGGTTGACAATATAATTGTAGGTTAGGGAGGAGAGTGTCCTAGTTCTTTGGACACACACTTGCAAGTATTTAGGAGGGATGCCTTTAGGAATGGCTTTGAATAATGCCAGCAGCTTACTCGAGATTTTTCCATTGGGGGGAAAAAAAAAAAATACTACGTAAGAGAGAAAGCACATTTGGCAAGATGTCAACAATCAAGGAATCTATAGGTGAAAAGTACATGGCTGTTGATTATCCTAGTCTTTCAACTCTTCTGTAGAGTTTCAATAAAAAAAGAGGGGACAGGACGTTTGGAGCAGGTGGAAATAGCAAATGCAGTCAGAGCCTTTCAAGGAGTTTATGTCGCTGGGTGCTGTTACACTGAAGGAGAGGAAAGTGCGTTCATCAATAGCCAGGCGAACCTATAGCTGAAGCAGGCCCAGTAGACAATCACGTTGTCGGCAGGAAAACGGTAACGATCATGAACACACCTGAAGATGATTTAATTTTTCATATCTCAAAGGAAAATGGTGGCCATCGCCGGTTTGGCTCAGTGGCTAGAGCATCGGCTGCGGACTGAAGGGTCCTGGGTTCGATTCCGAGCCAGGGCATGTACCTTGGTTGCAGGCACATCCCCAGTAGGGGGTTTGCACGAGGCAGCTGATCGATGTTTCTCTCTCATTGATGTTTGTAACTCTCTCTTCCTCTCCTTTCCTCTCTGTAAAAATCAATAAAATACATTAAAAAAAAAAAAAAGAAAGAAAAAAAGAAGATGGTGCCCTTACTCCCCAGGAACTTACTAGGATGCTGAGCCTGTGGGTCATGCTCCTTCAGCGGCTCAGCCTCCTCTCCTGGCAAAGAGCCGGGCGCACCCGGTGCGCTTGGGAAGGATGGGCTTTGGCTCCACCTCTGACAGGCTCAGTGCTCTAGCTTCTTCTCGGAAGTGGTGGAGCAGGTGAGATAATGCAGTAGCAGCACTTAACATAGTGCTTGGAGCACAGTAAAGCCAAATTAACATGAGGCATCGCTCTGTTCTGGCTCACACTCAGTGACAGGTGTTAGGAATGAAGGCTGGGTTGGCAAAGCCATGCTGAAGGTGCAGCCGCTGAGCCATGGGGCAGTGGAAGCAGCCGAGGCCCGCAGCCCTGAAGGACAGACAGTCCTCCTTCCTCCCAGGGAGACACACAGTCCTCCTCCCTCCCAAGGAGACACGGATCCGGGCGAGACAGGTGACGTCATTTGTTTCCATCTCCCAGCGCCTCGCCCTGAGCCTTTGGCCTGGACTCGCCAGTGGTTGACATTTCACCAAATTTTTGCCCTCCCCCCCACATATTTTCCATGGAAGCACTTTTCCCCACATCCAAACCGGGAGGCAAGTCTGCAGATCTACTTCCGCAGTGTCCACAGGCTGAGCTCTTCCTGCCTCCTTCATTGCTGCCATCTCAGCACGAGACACTGTGGAGTCTCACCTGGATTCTTGCAGCGCAGGCCTCACTGTGGAGACCTCTCTGCTCGCACCCTGACTTCCGTTTAGTTGTTCCCTCTGTACAGCAGTCACTGTGGTCCAGGTGACATGTAAGCCAGGCCACATTACCCCTCTGCTCTGAGTCCTCCAGTCCTCACTGCTTGTTTAGAGGAGAAGCCAGAATTCTTTTTTTTTTTTTTTTTAATATATTTTATCAGTTTTTTACAGAGGAAGGAGAGAGATAGAAAGTTAGAAACATTGATGATGAGAGAGAAACATCGACCAGCTGCCTCCTGCACACCCCCCACTGGGGGTGTACCCACAACCAAGGTACATGCCCTTGACCGGAATTGAACCTGGCTTTACTGTGCTCCAGTCTGCAGGCTAACGCTCTATCCACTGAGCCAAACCAGTTTTGGCAGAAGCCAGAATTCTTACCATGGCCCACAAGGCCCTACAGGGTCAGGCTAGTTCCTCTTCGACATTCATTTCCAAAACTCTCCTCCTCATTCACTCCTTCCCAGGAGGAGAGGTGGAGGGGATCACCAGTGGACAGAGATTCTAAGATGACAGCTCTCCACCAAGAAGGAGAGGGTAATCAGTCCTATGTGGAGCAGGTCAGCAGAATCTGAAGAGAGACTCTTATACCGAGTTCCTGCTTCAGAATGCCTAATGTGTCTGTCTCCCATCCAAGTACTAACCAGGCCCGACCCTGCTTAGCTTCCGAGATCAGAGGAGATCGGGCGCGTTCAGGGTGGTATGGCCGTAGACAGAATGCCTAATGTGTCTGAATATTCTGAGAGAAGATCAGGCTCTTAGTAGAGTATTTGGAGTTATTCACGTGAGAAATTTATGGAAAACTATGCCCAGAAAAAAGGAAAAGAAAAGAAAAAAGTAGCTCCAGAAGCCATAATCAGTTTGGCTCAGTGGATAGAGCGTCGGCCAGCAGACTGAAGGGTCCCAGGTTTGATTCTGGTCAAGGGCATGTACCTTGGTTGTGGGCACATACCCAGTAGGGGATGTGCAAGAGGCAGCTGATCGATGTTTCTGACTCTCTCTGTCTCCCTTTCTCTCGGAAAAAAATTAATAATTTTTTTTAAAGTAGCTCCAGGAAAAAAGTGTTTAGAAAATAATAATAATAATAGTTTGGCCCATAATAAGCATTAAATATTTGTCTATCCATTGCTACAATGTAACAATATGGGTTGCTGAATATGTATGAGAAAAAAAGGATATGTGTTTGTTGGATTGAGGTAGAGGAGAATCAAGAGTCAATATTCGCCTTCCACTAAAAATGAAAAATCATGAGTCAGCAAATTAAGCATAATGTTTAGAGACATAGAAGTTAAAAAAAAAAAAAAAAAAAAACAGGAAAAAGAAATCTCAGTGCCTGCTCCTGAAGGAAGGAAGGAAAGAAGGAAGGAAGGAAGGAAGGAAGGAAGGAAGGAAGGAAGGAAGGAAGGAAGGAAGGAAGGAAGGAAGGAAGGAGTATAGAACAAGGGGGTGGGGCTTTCTTAACACACCTTAGAGAACTATTGGCTCCTTGTACCATGTACATTTGTGATTTTGATAAAAATAAGAACTAAAGGGTGACATTTGTAATTTAAGCATGAGGTGAGAAGAGCATCCAGGTTAAGGCAGTGGCAGTGGAAACAGAGAGGGATGACTTTGACATCTTCAGAGAAAGAATCACGAGGGCTTGGTGCAGACAGCAAAGAGCATGAGGGAGAGGTCAGAGGCAACGCTGGGAGGTGCAGTTTGGAGGAACGGCACAGGCCATTACTAGAAGCTGGGGGTTAAAGAAGGAGAGTTAACTTGGGCTGATTGTTATTTTTAAAGTGATATCATGGGGCATATCCCTAAACGCCATTAGAAACATGATGGCAGTTACTTTATTTATTTATTTTAATATATTTTATTGATTTTTTACAGAGAAGAAGGGAGAGAGATAGAGAGCTAGAAACATCCATGAGAGAGAAACATCAACCAGCTGCCTCTTGCACACCCCCTACCGGGGATGTGCCCGAAACCAACGTACATGCCTTTGCCCGGAATTGAACCTTTCAGTCCGCAGACCAATGCTCCACTACTGAACCAAACCGGCTTCGGCTGATGGCAGTTACTTTAAATATTACTTTACACCGTGGGAACTCTTAAAGACTCCATTTAAAAATTCTGGTTCTTGCCTAAACCAGTTTAGCTCAGTGGATAGAGTGTCGGCCTGCGGACTGAAGGGTTCGATTCTGGTCAAGGGCATGTACCTTGGTTGCAGGCACGTCCTCAGGAGGGGGTGTGCAAGAGGCAGCTGATCGATGATTCTCTCTCATCGATGTTTCTAACTCTCTATCCCTCTCTCTTGCTCTTTGTAAAAAATCAATTTAAAAAAATTCTGGTTCTTGGGTCTGAGTAACGTTTCATACATCGACTCGGTCAACTTGACTGCAGGTCAGCCTTCCTGTGGGGCTGATGTCTGAGCCTGGAAGTGGGAGGCAGGACACCCAGGGCTGTGGTCTCTGTCTGCCGAGCTTTCACTGAGAGGCATCGGATCGGGCAGGAAGTGCCTCCCCTGGCCCCTTGCAGCCCCTCGGTGACACACCTTCCTGGTCCCTCCATGTTCCTGGGAGGTAACAGCCTGGAACCAGGACCCCTTAAAACGTTTACCCTCCCTGATGTTCAGCTTCCCTCTTCCCGTGATTCTACTCTGCCTCTTGCACTCCAGGTTCAGACTCACCTCCAAACACCACTCTCAGCATTGCTGGTATGTGCTAGGCATTGTGCTAACCACGCATTGTCAGTCCTGCAGCCGCTCTGCTCGTAGAGCTGTCGATGTTATTGTCATATCTGAGACGTGAAATGACACGTCCAAGGTGTCACAGCTGGCAGTGACAGAGCTGGACGGCAGTGCAGTCACGTTATTCACCTCCAATCCCCACGTTCTCCCGGAAAGAAAGAGCACACCTTCTCCTGTGCTGCTTTCACAGGAATACATCCAAGCCGTCCTTTCACCCGGAAGCACCTTAGAGGCATTGGTTTTCATGATTCTGTCTTCGCGGTTGCTTTTGTGGTCTCGGAACTTCCAGAAACCTGAGAACTACCTGAAGTCTGTGTTTCTCTGGTGCCAGGAAATGGAAGTCAGATGGGTCTGGGCTCCATCAATACGTCTTTTAAAAAAATATATATTTTATTGATTTTTTTTTTTTTTTTTTTTTTTTTTTACAGAGAGGATGGGAGAGGGATATAGAGATAGAAATATCCATCAGCTGCCTCCTGCACACCTCCTACTGGGGGTGTGCCCTCAACCAAAGTACATGCCCTTGACCGGAATCAAACCTGGGACCCTTGAGTCCACAGGCCGGTGCTCTATCCACTGAGCCACACCGGTCAGGGCCCATCAATACTTCTTAAACGAGAGCGTTTGTTCATGACTACGCCTATGATGCACAAGCACACAAAGGCCAGGAGGTCGCTTTGAAGAGCGGACAGCGGTCCTTGCTGATGGGCAGCCATGTCCCCTGTCACGGATGGCGGGGAAACCTGTGCCATGCCGTAGATCTCTCACCGGGAGCTTGTGGGTGCGATGTGGTCACTGATCTCCGTTGGATGTAACACAGGGATGAGCGGGACCTGCTAACACGCCAGCCCCAGGAGCTGTATGCAGTGCATCCGGCATGTTGGCAGCTTGAAGTCGGCCTTGATGGTAGGATTGACATGACAGAAATGAGCAAACACTGCCCATCGGCCTCTCCCAACACTGTGCAGCCCATTAGTCCATGGGTGGGTGAAGCCTCTGGAACCCTCATTTTTGTAGGGGAAAATGGTGGAATATTGACAATTTGATTTGGTTCAGACTAGCACTGCGATCGCACACTGTTAGAACAGTGAGCTGATCAAAGACAGGCAGCATCCAGCAAATCCATCGTTCCTGTGGAAAGTCCTAAGAGCAGAAAACGAGTATGGAATCACACTTGAGGTGGAACTGAATCGTCACCGAAAGGGGACTCTCTGGCTCCCGGGAAAGTGCTCTGTGAATAGAATGCATTTTCAGTCAGGTAAATATTTCCCTTTGAAAGCACGGTGTTTCCACTGTGGGGTCTGGAGAAGCCTCTCCGACTCCCTGCCGGCTTACAGTCTGACAAACAGGCCGCTACTGTTTACACTGGCGGCTCCTGGAGGTGGTTTTAGAAGCGTCAGGTGCTTATAGGAAGCAGCCCAAAGACGACAGCAGTTGAGGCAGGTGTTTCTCACCAGACACTGTTTGATGGTTTGGCTTATAAATAAAGGTCTAAATAAAAGATGGAAGTTTTTAGAACCAAAGACTGTTTAAACCTAAAGGCGCCTTAGGATCAGTGTGGTAACGGACAGGCCTCCCCGGGGACCAGCGCCTGACGCTCCAGACGCTCCATCCAGTGCCCTTTACACTGCGCAGCTCCGCGAGCAGCGCCCAGGCCTCATTGCTCAACTCTGAGCACGTGGCCGCCTCCTCTGGAGTCAGAACAGACAACAGGGAGAGTCCCCTGTGGTGGTTTGTGAAACAGAAATGGGAGGAATGGGGTTGTGAGGCCTTGTGATGTGACACGTGTCGACTTTTTAATTGACAGTAAACAAATTCATTCTTTTACTCACGTCAGACCTTTTTAAGCCTCTGTAGCATTTTCCTCATTCTTCAGAGTTCTTCCTTCTAAACTCTAATGAATTGCTTTGACTGGAAACAGGATGGGAAGAATGAGTTTGTATAAAGACCAAAGACTGTCCTGTTTGCTTTGCTTGATTTAAAGGACTTCATAAATATATCCTGTGCCTGCAGTCAGATTTCTTTGAACGGGTCAGTGTACTGAAGTTGTTTTCTTCCTTTGATATTCTTAAAGGCTTTCCTACTTTCGAGGTCTTGATTTCTTCCAAATTTGTCATTTCACCTGAATATTAATAATTTAATGTCTTGTTTTTGTTTTTGTTTTTGTTTTTTTAACAGATAGCGGAGTCCTATTTCCAGGAGGAGGACTGTATCCTTTCTTAATTACAGGAAGAAATTCATCAAACTCTTAGAAAACTGCACATTTTAAAAACTTGAGATTTACATACAAGAAAATGTATAGCTATGTTATTTTTAAAAAGTTTTAGTAGTTGCCTGCACCCATGTAATCACCTCAGAAAGCAAGATGTAGGGACTCTGTCACTCCAGAAAATTCTCTGGGACTAACTTAATAAAGGAGCCCTAATTTTTTTTTAAGTATTTTTTTTTATTATTGATTTCAGAGAGGAAGGGGGAGGGAGAGAGAGAGAGAAACATCAATGATGAGAGATAATCCTTGGTAAGCTGCCTCCTACATGTGCCACAGTGGGGATTGAGCCTGCAACCTGGACATGTGCCCTGATTGGGAATGGAACTGCAACCTCCTGGTTCAAAGGCCGATGCTCAATCACACCAGCCAGGCAGCTCTACCAGAATCTAAATATTTGTGTGTTTGGGAGTTGGGGGGAGAGGAGGAAGGAGGGGAAGCACATTGCTGAAAAATATAATTTAAAAATCCATTGTATTTTCTTACTTTGAATTAAGCTGAGATACAAGTCAACTAATCTATATATATAAAAACCCAGCAACCTAAACGGCAGAAACGACCAAAACAACCGATGGCTATGACACATACTGTGGCAGCCAACCAGCCTGATCCAGTCCCCGATGGTCCCCCTACACCCCGATCGGGGGGGCGGGGCCAGCCGGACCCCACCCACGCACAAATTCATGCACCCAGCCTCTAGTATTGATATAACAGAGCCTACAAGCATATTGCACTTAGTAGATCTCACAACTGTCACACATATACCTGCAAAGGAAAGATTTCATTTTTCACTCATAATATACAATAATTGCTGTCCAGTGAGATTGTATGTTAAATTTTATACGGAGAAGATTCTTCCCTCGGTCTTCCAATTTCCCTTTTAGAAAAACTACTCTTCTTTTTGAGGGATGGCCCAATATGTACTCTCTGGAAAGGCTGTATCAGAAACCCCTGTTTTCCCCATTTGTGCCATGTTTTCCTCCCAGCCTTGCTGACTCCCCCCACATCTCTGAGGGATAGGCAGTTGCCCCCAAACTCTATCAAGCAAGCTGGCGAAACTCAGACAGTGACAGTTTATCTCCAAATCTGTAGAAAATCCAACTGGAGTGGAAATGAAGCTAGAACACAACACTTTTTTTTTTTTTTCTTTAACTAAAGAAGTGTATTGTCTAGTGCAGGGCAGACCAGCATCAACATCTAAGTTTCTTAGAAATGCAAATTCAGACGAAACCAGTTTGGCTCAGTGGATAGAGCTGCGGCCTGCGGACTGAATGGTCCCGGGTTTGATTCCGGTCAAGGGCATGTACCTTGGTTGCGGGCACATCCCCAGTAGGGGTGTGCAAGAGGCAGCCGATCGATGATTCTCTCTCATCGATGTTTCTAACTCTCTATCCCTCTCCCTTCCTCTCTGTAAAAAAAAAAGAAAGAAAGAAAGAAAAGAAATGCAAATTCATGGGCCTTCGAATCAGAACTCTGGCGATCAGACCCATGAATCTGAATTTCAGCAAATTTTTGAAATTATGGTCAGTTAAGTAAAAACATCCATGGACTGTAAGTCATGGGCAGAGGAAAACTGAGTTCCGTGTCCCAGCTTCTCCCTGGCCCAGTGTGTGACCCCTGGCATATTTTTAAGGCTACAAATAAGCAAACCTCTGTGTGATCTTGAGAAGGACAGAAGGCTAGACAGCGCGTGTCCCCGTCCTTCCTCCTAACTCGGCATCTAGGACATGGCCCAGAGGAGGCAGATGACCTCACATGATGCCAACTATGTGATGCAGATGAAGGTGGCAGACGTTTATGAGAAAATCTGCAGAGTTTCACCTAATTATGAAAATTACTGTGGCAGGTTAGTTACATTTTCACCAAAGAGTCACGTGTTGAGCTCTGTGACCCTTAGGCATGTAACCCTTAGGTTTTGTGAGAGAGCAGCTTTCAGTGAGAAGTAAGGGAAGGATTAAGGTGAGTGAGATCAGAAGCAGGTTGACAGGAGAGAGGGTAGCAGGTGTTTAACAGAAAGCAATTGAAGGAAAGAGGGAAACACAGATGCCAGGATTCCGTGGGAGTCCCGTTTCCAATTAAATCACACTCAATTGACTGCTAGAGGGAGATTAGCAAACAGGCATTCCTGAGCATTGAAATTTCATTTTCGTTTCTACTCTTTGCTGATAGAACGGACCCCAAGGAGCTATTGCATAATATGCCACATTAAAATGTACCTACTTCAAAACCAAAAAAAAACTTATGTTTAAACTAAAAAATATTTAGAGTCCTCTTATTATTTTTTTTTGTAAGCTTCAAGTTTCGTACTTTATATAGGACATTATTCTTCAACCATGTGGCTAAATGTAAATAGCCTGGATTTCTATTTTCCTCAAGTTTTCTGTTCAGATGAGAAAGCAATGAAGTTCATTCAACTTGAGCGCCTGTATCATGAGCAATTGCTTGCAAACCTTTCTGCAATTCAAGAACAATGGGGTAAGTACAGACTAACAGAATGTGGAATTATCAGCAGTTTGACAAGCTGCTATCTAGAAAGTTAACACATTTGACCCGGTTTTGTACATCGGGAAAGAAATGTTTCTACGCTCACGTTACTGTTGCAAAGAAAGTTACATTTTAACCACAAGCAATGCCATTGTGAGAAAATCTCTCTTTGTATTTTTGTTCTTCATATCAACACTGCGTGAGAGAACTCTTGCCACTGCTTGCATTTCTTCTGATCCCTTTGTATGCCCTCCTGGCTAATTTAGTCTCTGAAATAATATTTACTTACATTGAAAAGTAATCACTTAGCTGTTTCTAACTATATTGACTTATGGGTTATTTGAGAAGATAGGTTTGCATGCTAATCTTTATAAGTGTGCCAGTTAACTATCTTCCCTCCTAAACGTGATTTGTAATAGTCAGTGACTAACAAATATTTTAAATTTAGAAACAAAATGGAAAACTGTGCAACCACGTGCAGTCACGTCTCCAAGGAATTCAGAGAGGGGATTTAACGGTGAAGATTTTGAACGGCTAACCAAATTTTGCGCAACACATCAAGAGTAAGTATTTCCGTGTTTGTCTAGAGTGAGCTCGGATCAGAATAGTGAAGGACCATTGTAGCACTGAATATCTGAAATACAAGACCCATTTCTTTCTTTGTTTTGTTAATGTTTTCAACTGGAGAAATTAAACTGGATAAAATAAAAAGATTAGGTTTCTTTCTCAGCTTTTAGCTGTTTCTTATACCAAGCTCGGTGAAAGGTCAGCTTTACAGAGGTTCACAGTACTTTTTAATTAGAAATTTTTATTTTTTTATTGTTGGAAGTATTACAAGTGTTCCCCTTTTTTTAAATTAGAAAATTTTTAAATATAACTTCTACTTTTCATCTCTGATTGGTTAAGAGATTAGGCAATTCAGATGGGAAAATTGTGTATTAGGACTGTTGGCCAATATTTGTAAATTATAGTAAAAAATATTTTTTAAAGAGTAGGCTAATAGTGGAAGCAAATGCAATATTTAACCAACATAATGCAGAGAGGAAATTATATTTACCTGATAATACTTTTTAATTGCTTGACTTTTGTCGAAGAATTGGATCTTTAAAGCTAACTTACAGTAATAATAAAGAACATAAATATGCTTTTAATTCGTATTTCAAGACTTAGAATTCGGAAGCTGAGGGGACGGTGCTGAATGAGTCTGGATTCAGAAGTGATAACTTATTCAGCTCTGGTGGTGACCGTTTTCTTACGTTGGTCACTGTGAACCTTTGAAACCAAGTATTTTGGGATTTTGCACGGTAACCTAATGTCTTAGCCTGTTAAATATGTGACCTTTCAACTTCACAGAGTTTTAAAATCAAGGAATTTTTAAAGGCACATAAGAGATTTGCTTTCAAATATTCAATACTCTTTCCCTGCCCTTCGCGTGGAACTAGATATTTTTTTCTGCCTCTTGGCATTTGTAGCTTATTTGGGAAGTTTCGGGAGTAATTAGCCTCGGAGGAGATGAGCTCTGTCGCTGCCTCTGCGCTGAGAGCCAGGCTGTGTCCGCAGTGGGACTGTTCGGAGCTAATGTCAGAGCCCCGCGGAGCTGTAACTTTATACAGCCTGTCAGTGACATTTGTGTGGAAGCATATTGCCGCTGCGATTTGTTTTTAACTCTTTCTTTCCTCTCGGTTTTCCCTACAGCCCTCTTCCATCCGCATACAAGGTAAGGGATTGTTTCTTTGGAAGCATTTACAGGGAAGACTCTATGTCATGCGCCTATAGCATGACCCGCGTAGAAAATGAACCTCCTCGATTGTTTTCCCCTTCCCATGTCGTGCTGTGTTCCCCCTTAGACGGCAGCTGCGGAGCCGGCCCTGGGGAGGCAGCGCGTGGCCACGTCGGTGGAGCCTGGGGGTCCCCTGGGAAGCGAAGTGGCAGCCCCGGCGCCCGGTATGTGTTGAAGGTTGAGGACCCCCCACCTACCACTCTGACTCTGTTCACAGGGACTGTGTCTGAGATGCTATGCTGACTTTTTTTTTTTTTTTTTTGCACATACTTTTCCTAGACAAATAGCAAAATGGGATTTTTTTATATTATGAAAGTATTTTTATTTTTTTATTTTTTTATAAATATAAGGAATTTAAAAAATATATATATATATTTTATTGATTTTTTTTTTTTACAGAGAGGAATAAAGAGAAATAGAGAGTTAGAAACATCAATGAGACAGAATCATCGATCAGGTGCCTCCTGCACACCCCCTACTGGGGATGTGCCCACAACCAAGGTACATGCCCTTGACTGGAATCAAACCTGGGACCTTTCAGTTCGCAGACTGACGCTCTACCACTGAGCCAAACCGGTTTCAGCTGAAAGTATTTTTTAGTAGTAGAAAATATAAAATCAAAGTTCATATAAAAACAGTTATTTCCATGTTTTTCAGCAGTGGCTGTCTGAATCTAACACATTATGACAGGATTATACAAAAATGCTCTGAAACAGAGTTGGTTTGGGTGTCTTCAGACATTCTTTTCTGTTTAGAATCCAACAATTATTACGTGGGCTTAGCTAGCCATTTGTTCTGTATATCTAACTACTTAAAAGTTATTGATAATTTATCCATAGCATTGATTCCTCTCCCTTTTATATTGACTAACATGGTGTACTTTAATTTGCATTTATATTTCAAAAGCATTTGTGATATATTTTGTATCACTTTGTGTCCTATGTCAAAAGTTAAAGATTTTTAGAAACTGATTTTTTTTTTTACATTAGTAGTGTATGTCCATTATAAAAACATTAGAAAATAAAGATAAATACCTTTTAGGGTGTTTGTTTTTCCTGATGCATGATTTTTGGTTCTAATTTCTATTTCTGGGATTTATGTTCCTGAGCCCTGATATTAAACAGCAGCATCAGACATTTGGACTGAGCTGCCTGAGAGAGAAAATGATGATGCTGCCTGCGATTCGCTTCTTATTTTTCTTTTTATAAAGTCCTTTTTCGTCCCCTAATATATCTCCCTTATTTTTATGAGGCAAATTAGAAATAGTGCCTTAGGCCAATCCTACTACATTCTGTTCTTCCTGTCTCTTCTGTCCCAGTCATTTTCAGACTGGAAACCAGAGTAAAGTGAGCCTCAGTCTCAAAGGGTTTTTAGTGAAGTTAGTGCAATAGGGGGTAGCAAACTGAGCTCACTAGATTTGTGGGTTCAGAAGACCAAATTAACGGAAATGCATATCAATGTTAACAGAAGCATTATCAAGGATAAGTTTTATATTATATTTGCAGAAAATATTTTGGGTCAAACATGTGGATCCAATATTTGCCCTCCCCCCTTTTCCTGGGACACTATTAAAGCATCAGACAGGGATTCCTAAAAGAGAAATCCACAGGACAAACTGGCAAGGACACAGCAGCAGATGAGACATCCAGGAAACTGGAAAGTAGAAACCGAGAAAGCTGTGTCTGCCGCGAAAATGCCAGTTCCTATCTGGAAAGGTTGGGATTGGAAGCGCAGAGGGTACCTCTAAAGTCAAAGGTATAAGGCCCAAGAGTCTGGCTCAGCGGATAGAGCGACGGCCTAGGTTCGATTCTGGCCAAGGGCACATCGATCCCCAGTAGAGAATGTGCAGGAGGCATTCAATCAAGAATTCTCTCTCATTATTGATGTTTTTATCTCTCTCTCTCTCTCTCTCTCCTTTTTTCTCTGAAATCAATAAAAAACAAAACATAAAAAATAAAGTCAAGGACGTAGGGTTGGACTGGAAACAGGTGGGAGCACTGGGACCTTAGTGTTTCAGAGGCAGCAGGGTTACCTGGTGGAGAACGTGACAGACGGGCTGGGCCACAGGGTCAGGCTCAGCTCTAGGAAGGGCTGTTCTATGGAAAATGAGAGTGAATGACAGTCTCATAGGCTGAGTGGTGAGACCTGCAGCCTCCGTTCTGCGTGAGCATTTAAGCATCGCAGGCAGCATCATCATTTTCTCTCTCTGGGAAATAAGCTGCTGGTTTCCTCTCTGGGAAATGAGCTGCTGATCTAGGAGGGAAAACCTCCAGAAATCACGTGAAGGGCCTCCCAGTACACGGCCCCGCCCACTGTGCCACCCTGAGGCCGGCCCGGGGAAGGCTTGCCTTGGGCCACGGGGCTGCTTGTTGTCTCCTTTAAGAAAACCTCAGCCGAAACCGGTTTGGCTCAGTGGATAGAGCATCGGCCTGCGGATTGAAAGGTCCCAGGTTTGATTCCGGTCAAGAGCATGTACCTTGGTTGCCGGCACATCCCCAGTTGGGGGGTGTGCAAGAGGCAGCTGATCGATGTCTCTCTCTCATCAATGTTTCTAACTCTCTATCCCTCTCTCTTCCTCTCTGTGAAAAACCAATAAAATATATTAAAAACAAAAACAAAAAAACTCAAAGTCCGGTAGACAAGCCAAGAGAAACTCAGAGGAAACAAAATGCAGAGAACAGAAGAAAACTTTTTTTAAATGAATATTACCACAGAGACTAGAGGAAATATTATATAAATGAAAGCAAAAAGAACATGTTTATTTTTTAAATATTTCTTTTTATTTTAGAGAGAGAGGAAGGGAGAGGGAGAGAAAGCGAAACATCCATCAGCTGCCTCCTGCCCGCCCCCTACTGGGAAGCAAGCCCACAAGCCCGGCAGGTGCCCTGCCCTGGAATCCACCTGGCGACCTTTGTGTTGCACAGGAAGATGCTCAACCACTGAGCCATACCAGCCAGGACAGGATGCAGTTCTGTTGTTGTTGTTTTAATTTGTATTGACTTCAGAAAGGAAGGGAGAAGGAGAGAGAGATAGTAACATCAACGATGAAAGAGAATCATTGATTGGCTGCCCCCTGTACGCCCCCTACTGGGTATCAAGCCCACAACCCTGGGCATGTGCCCTTGATAGGAATCAAATCTGGGACCTGGGACCCTTCAGTCCACAGGCCAGTGCTCTATCCACTGAGCCAAACTGGCTATGGAAAGATGCTGTTTTTTTTGTTTTTAAAGAAACATTCAGAGAATTAAACACTTATAGAAATTTAGAAATACGATAACCAATATAAGAAATTATTTAGAAGAATTGAAGGGTGAAATTGAGGCAGTGTCCCAAAAAGCTGATCCAGAACAAAGAGTTTGGCAGCAAAGGCTGAGGTGATCAGTCCATGGGGCATCCCAAAGGGAGAATGGAAAGGGCAGGGACCGCCATCAGAGAACTAATACAGGGACATTTCCCGGCATTGAGGTCATGAGTTTCCATTGGAAAATCCTACCACTGACCTAGTTGGTGTGGCTCAGTGGATAGAGCATCAGCCTGCAGACCAAAGGGTCCCAGGTTTTATTCTGGTCAAGGGCATGTGCTGGGGTTGTGAGCTCCATCCACATTAGGGGACATGCAGGAGGCAGCCGATCCTAGATTCTCATTGATGTTTCTCTCTCTCTCCCTCTCCCTTCTCTGAAATCAGTGTGCGTGCATGTGGGGTGTGTGTGTGTGTGTGTGTGTGTGTGGTAAATAAATACAAATTAAAAAAGAAGGCGCCACCAAGTACCCAACACCAAGAACAAAAAACGTTACGAAGTGTCAGGACACCAGATGGAAAGACAGGATCTCAATCTTCCAGGAAGAAAGGCAGGTCAAAGGGGCTGGTATTCGGAACGGTTAAGCAACGGCATTCCTTCCAGAAGCAGACACAGGGCGGCAGGGCCTGCTTCGGAGTCTGGGAGACGTGGTGTCTGACCGAGGACACTTGACCCGTGTTTTGGGGGCAAGGGAATAAGGCTTCCAGGTGCGGGGACCTTTCCTTAGGAAAAGTTCCCCAGGAGAGGACAGACGGAGAGGAGACCTGGGGTCCAGAAGCCAAGGTTTCCAGCCCAGCACCTCAGGGAGTCCTAGGACTGGGTGAGGGGGGAAGGAGTGGGAGAGGGGGAGTCAGGGTGGCACCTGCGGGGCACTCTTGGAGGCACCGGAAGGGGATTTGGAAGTTGGCAGACGCCCTGGAGCCATAGCTGTGCAGGGTCAGGAGCTGAGAGATACAAGGAGAGAATTTTTAAGTGAAGTAATGGGTCAGTTATCACCACCAAGGACAGCCGGGTGGAAATGAGGAAGAAATGCGGGTCAGTATGCGTGATATGGACACACCCCTGTGAGGTGGACGTTTGAGCAGGAGCTGCCCCAGTGCGGGGTTGTGGGGGCAGCTGGAGGGGGGACCGTGCGGAGGGCTGATTCCCTATGTCCTTCCTCCTAAGTGTTTCGAACGTTAAAACCACTTGTTTTTCTTCGTCTCCAGAGCGTGGAGCGGGGCCTGGCATGGAGCCACGCGCAGAGAGCCCGCGGAGGGCGGACCCCCCCACCCCGGGGAGCGGGACGGCCGCCGCGGGCCCGGAGCGCCCCGCCCCGGAGCTGCCCGCCCGGCCCGCCGGCCGGCTGTCTGCCCAGAGCGCCCGGGAGGACCCGGAGGACTGGGAGGACGGCGGCTGCCCGCAGCCGGCGCCCCCGGATGCCTGCGGGGCTGCAGCCCAGGCCGAGGGCCCCTCCGAAGACTCCGAGGCGCCCCTCGCCAGCAGGGCAGCGACCGCGCCCCCGGTGTCCGTGGGCTCCGAGCCGACGCCCCCTGCCCCGGGGGCTCACCCCGCGGGCTCCGAGCCGACGCCCCCTGCACTGGGGTCTCCCTCCGAGCTGACCCCCCCTGCACCGGCAGCTCCCTCCGAGCCGTCACCCCCGGCCCCGGCGTCAGCGGGCTCGGAGCTGACCTCCCCTGCACCGGTGACACCCCCAGCCCCGGGGGCTCCCCCCTTGCCGGCGCCCAGGAAGGAGCTCCAGCTGCCGCTGGCAGATGCCCCTGGGGCGGCGCCCGCAGACCGCCCTGCGCCCCCGGACCTGGAGGAGCCGCCGCAGCCGGAACCCGCGGGCAGCGACGGGGGGCCCGGCGGGGGCGGCCTGAGCGCAGAGCCCCCGGAGGGGTGCGCGGCCCCCGCGGGGCGGGGCGGCCCGGACCCCCGCGTCAGCCGGGAGGCGGAGGACTACCTGAGCAGCCTGCTGCAGGGCTGCCTGCTGGAGGGAGACCTCCCGGACCTGTCCCCCGACCTGTCCCCCGACGAGGCCTCCTACAGCCTCCAGGACGACCCGCCCTCCGACGGCAGCCTGTCCCCCGACGACCTGGCCCCCAGGATCCAGATCGCCGAGGTAAGCGCTGCCCGCGGCGGGGGAGAGGGGAGGGCGAGGAATTCTGCAGCCTGAGCTCCCGGCTCAGGTGTCACTCTTTTCATCTTTACATCGTGGTGATGCCCAGGAGCTCAGGGACGCCCCCAGGTATGCGCCCCGGAGCCCCCCGTGGGTTCCTGTGTCTTTCTCCCCCTTACCCCCCGCGGTCCTAGAAGCAGCGGTGAGATGAGATGAGTCACCGCCTTATAAGGAAATTAATTTTTCTTCTCATCCATCTAGAAGATGGAATGGGATGCGCTCTGTCCCTTCCTCTTACTTACGTGTTTGCTGATTCTCTGAAGCTGTAACGGGAGGGAGGAGACAGGCCAAAACGCAGTGGGATTAGGAAGTCGGACTGCTAACTCACACTGGGTGCTGGGAGTGTTCTCGCTGGCACAGTCTTAATTTGTAAGTTCAAGATTTGTACTTGACAAAGACAGTTACTATAAATAATTGAAAGTCTTAAGCTTTCTTTAATCATTAATGAGTCTAATCAAAGCCAAAAAAAGTGGGGGGGGGGGGGGAGGATGAGGATCAAGATGGCCATTCTCCTTTTTTGATATTAAAATTTAGGAAAAAGAAAAGATGCTTCCTGAGGGCTCTTCATGTGGCAGGTGCTGGGGGCAGTGGGGGAGGTGCTGGGGGGGGCAGTGAGGGAGATGCTGGGGGCAGTGGGGCAGGTGCTGTGGGCAGTGGGGGAGGTGCTGGGGGCAGTGAGGGAGATGCTGGGGGCAGTGGGGGAGGTGCTGGGGGCAGTGGGGGAGGTGCTGGGGGGGCAGTGGGGGAGATGCTAGGGGCAGTGGGGCAGGTGCTGGGGGCAGAGGGGGAGGTGCTAGGGGCAGTGGGGGAGATGCTGGGGGCAGTGGGGCAGGTGCTGGGGGCAGTGGGGGAGCTGCTGGGGGGCAGTGGGGGAGATGCTGGGGGCAGTGGGGCAGGTGCTGGGGGCAGTGGGGGAGGTGCTGGGGGCAGTGGGGGAGCTGCTGGGGGGCAGTGGGGGAGATGCTGGGGGCAGTGGGGCAGGTGCTGGGGGCAGTGGGGGAGGTGCTGGGGACAGTGGGAGGAGTTGCAGGGGTGCAGTGGGGGAGGAGCCAAACCTCCTAGGACAGGCAGCTTTTAATCTGAAAGAGAGCAAAATATGTCCCCACCTTCCGTCTAAACTGACAACATTTATTCAGTTATCTCAAGTCTCCCTGTTCCACAGACGCATATAGGGGACACATAACCGGAAGCTTTCTGTTGGGGAGAGAGATGGCAGCCCAAAGCTGCTGTTGGTTTGTCTACGGAAGCCATGGAAATAGGGTCACTTCTGTGGAGCATAGATCTCTGGGGTCAGGGAGGTCAGGTGACATTAAGACAAGTCACCACGGGGCGCCCTGCAGGCGGGGCCTGGGACTCAGCAGTGATGAGGTCACGTGGGAGGCCGTTCTGTGGCTCTCGGACAAAGGAGGGTCTTGGGAACAGTCTCCGGCTGTGCCACCCGGAAGGGCCCTTTGGAGGGAGCGGGAGCCGGGCCCCCTGACCATCGGAGAGGCGGGCCCCAAAGGGAGGGTCCGGGGGGACCCTGGCTGACCGGGGCCTGGGTCCGTGTCCACAGAGCCCAGGCGTAAGCACAGACTGCCTGTCCTGTCCTGTCCAGAGGGCCTCCCCTCGGCCTTTCTTCCTCAGCCCGCCTCCCCACGTCCGGGTTAACGAATGCTCCTGTGCGCCGGCATTCTCCTGCTTCTTCTCTTCTGCTCATTCACATCTTTCCTGCCTCTTCCTGGACGTCTGCAAGCTTCCCAGACCTCCTGTCACCTCCTCCACCTCCAAACGGTCTTATGTTAGCACGTTAGCACAGTATAAACCTGGAGTCTCCGACTGATGCCCCCAGGGGCCAGTTAATAATAAAAGTGAGTGAGCCCAAGCCGGTTTGGCTCAGTGGATAGAGCGTCGGCCTGCAGACTCAAGGGTCCCGGGTTCGATTCCGGTCAAGGGCATGGACCTTGGTTGCGGGCACATCCCCAGTAGGGAGTGTGCAGGAGGCAGCTGATCGATGATTCTCTCTCATCGATGTTTCTAACTCTCTATCCATCTCCCTTTCTCTCTGAAAAAATCAATAAATATATATTTTTTTAATTTATTTTTTTTTTAAGTGAGTGAACTGAGTTAGTGGTAGAGTGATAAGGAGAAGGTTCCCACCCTTGTCTAGGGGTTTCCAGCTTCATAAAACTGCAGGGGAACAGCACCCCTGAGGGTCTCGGTCTCACACACACTGTCGGTTAAACTTCTGCTGGACAATACTGTTTGCCTTGTCAGTCTCTTCCCACAACACCGTTCGGAGGCTGTACTACACGGCGTGGTATTCGGGACTCGGTCCTCTGGCCACTGCCTTCCCAGCGTCTCTCCTGTGCGCCTTCGTTCTCAGCCTGGACAGGCGTCAGATGGGCCTCCCCACAGCCTCCAGCTGCCGTGGTGCGTGCTGCCACCTCTGACCTTCACCTCCGTGTCGCTCTGTTCTGGGGCAGTGACCTCCTTTCTTACACTGACTTCCTCCCAGCGCTCAGGGTCTAGGTCACGCCTTTTCAGCACGTAGAGGGCCCAGTGCAGTGCCTGGCTCGTGATCAGTCCTCAGTAACTGCCAGCTGCTGCCATCATCCCCTGATCACTGAAGTCCATGTGCTCATTCTCTCCAAACTACGCCTCTGAACTTCAAAAGAGGGAGTGGTTTCAGCCCATTCCTCCCAAGGTCCTGTCTAGCTATACCCTTTCTTGTTACAGAACACACATGTTATCCAAGAAAACACAGGTAGGTGCTGTGTATCCCTTTACTCGTTGGCATGTTTATTGAGCAGCTACTACCTCTGCCTAGTCCTCTTCCGCTTTGGTAACCACCAAACTGTTTCCTCCTTCCGTGAGTTTCTCTGTTTGTGCTGTTCGTCCCCTTGTTGCTTTCTGTGCATAACCCACACATGAGCTAAATACTATGACTCCTGGCCTTTTATGTCACAAAAAGAAATACTGCCATTTGTGACAACATGGGTGCATCCTGAGAGTATGTGTCATGCTGAGCAGTGAGTCGGACAGGATAAGAAAAGCTCTGATAGTCATTAGAGATCAGACCTTTTTCACATCGGGAAGATGGCCAGAGGTTTCATCTTGAGTTTGGCTCAAACTCTGCCGGTAGCTGCAGCGACACGTTTGAAGCATGTCACCTGGGCTCTCTCAGCCTGGCTTCCCCTCCTGCAGGGGGCGCTGCTACTGCTGAATGAGGGTCATCAGGATTCAGTGTGGCACAGTATGTGAATGTCTTTACATAAAGTATATGTTCACTGAATTGTAGGTCTTACTGTAGAGCCCCTATATTTTTTATTTTATTTTTATTTTTATTGATTTTACAGAGAAAGGGGGAGGGAGGGAGAGAGAAATGTCAATGATGAGAGAGAATCATTGATTGACTGCCTCCTGCATGGCCCACTCTGGGGATCGAGCCAGCAACCTGGGCATGTGCCCTTGACTGCAATCGAACCTGGGACCCTTCAGTCTGCAGGCTGACACCCTAGCCATTGAGCCACACCGGCTAGGGCGAGAGCCGTAGCTAAAGGAGCAGGCAGAGAGCATCACTGGTTCCTCCAGTGCAGAATGATAGTGGTAAACTTCACGTGGCTCCTGCAGTGGGACGACGGGCCTGGAGGCTGTTGGTAACGGGCTACTATGACTTACGAATGTTAATTCTCGAGTTAGTCAGACGCCACACGTGTTCGTGTTCAAAATTTACCAGCCTTGAGGTGCTGGACTGTGGAAAGCCTAGCTCACTGAAAGGATATTATTTGGCATCTACTTTCTTCAATTTTGTGAGGAGGCAGTTCTAACCCCAAGACCTCTGACCGCTTACTTTGTCACAATAGGATTTACGGTACCCATAGAAACGCGAGGTAACTTTGTTTGCGCAACCATTTCATTCTTAAAATGCTGTTTGAGGTCACCATTGACGTTTGAGGGGAAGTGCAGAAGAACCGTTTATTAGCAGATGCAATAAGATGTGTTGTTTTGGTTGAATTCTGCATTTATTCGTAGAGTAAATACCACCAGTGACAGTTTCGTTCATTACAGCTCACACGTGCTTTTAGTTCATAATGGAAGGAAGGAGTTGGTCTATTTTCTTTGGGTAGCGAAGAAATTTGGTGATTCAAGTGGAAATCCAAATTTAGTTTATAAAGGTTTATTATTTTTTGAGATTTAAAAATTCTTAGTCTTTTATGTCAACATTACGGTAACGGGGTGGGGGGTATAGAGATGTTCGTGGGGGTTTTTTTAGAGTAGTTTGGAGGTGACAGATTTCTGTGTGTCCTAAATCAGCTTACCTCTTGCTTACAGAAATGCGTGGCCGTCCTTTGAGGGAGACCTCAAACTACTGTGTTTCCCCGAAAATAAGACATCCTCCGAAAATAAGACCTAGCGCATGGAAAGATAAGACATCCCCTGAAAATAAGATCTAGCGCAACTTTGGGAGAAAAAATTAATATAAGACACTGTCTTATTTTCGGGGAAACAGAGTAATAGTGAGACCTTGTTTTGGCTTCCCTGCTCCCAGAGAATTAAGGAAAAATCTACCAAAATCAGGCCTTGAACTCCGTGTCGGACTGCCGTGGTGTGGTAGGTAGGAATTTCTGTCCTTGGCGTAGATTCTAAGACCTCGACCTAAAACTCAGGCCAGAACAGAAAGGCCTATCCGTCTCCTAAGAGTCTCCTCCTCGGCTTGCATCTCCAATGCCTGAGCTTGGCTGCTCCCTCCCTGTCCCCCATCCGTAGACTGAAGGGCCAGAGGGAGTAGGAAAGGACACAGCGAGAACCCTGGAGAAGATCCCTGAGCAGCCCCTGAAGGCAGTACTGGAAAGAACACGCTGTGCCGAGGACAGCAGGCTTTGGTGGGAAGAATGTAGGTGCCCAGCTGGCAGGCCTGTGGTTGAGTGTCGACCTATGAACCAGAAGGACACAGTTCGATTCCCGGTCAGGGCACATGATCTCCAGTGTGGGGTGTGCAGGAGGCAGCCGATCAATAGTTCTCTCTCATCATGGATGTTTCTCTCTCTCTTTCTCTCTCTCTCTCTCTCTCTCTCTTTCTTTCTCTCTCTCTCTGTAATCAATAAAAGTATATTAAAAAAAATTTTTAAGTAGGCTGTATTAGATTTTTTTTTAATATAGTTTATTGATATTTTACAGAGAGAAAGGGAGAGAGATAGAGAGCTAGAAACGTCGATGAGAGAGAAACATCGACCAATTGCCTCTTGCACACCCCCTACCGGGGATGTGCCCGCAACCAAGGTACATGCCCTTGACCGGAATCGAACCTGGGACCTTTCAGTCCGCAGACCGACGCTCTACCACTGAGCCAAACCGGTTTCGGCTGTATTAGATTTTTAATCAAAAATAAACGATAGCCAAAATTGGTTTGGCTCAATGGATAGAGCACCGGCCTGCGGACTGAAGGGTCACGGGTTTGATTCTGGTCAAGGGCATGTACCTTGGTTGCGGGCACAACCCCAGTGTGGGAGGTGCAGGAGGCGGCTGATTGATGTCTCTCTCTCATCAATGTTTCTAGCTCTCTATCCCTCTCCCTTCCTCTCTGTAAAAATAAATAAATAAATAAATAAAATAAAATAAAATACGTTTAAAAGAATAAAGGGTTGGTGGGGTAGAGTGTCAAAATATTGGCCCGTCCCACCCAACTGTAATTTCTCATATTTGACTTCTTCCCTCTTTAAAGAAGTTGCCAAAGTTCATTGCCACCCATAGTACATAAGGTGGGGCCCCTGAGGCATGACATTCAGAGCCAGACGCCCAGCTGAGGCACAGCGGGACCACAGCGGCTGCCCTGGGACTGGCTGGCTCCTCTTGGAAGCACATTCTGTCTTTCCAGATGATTTCCAAAGTTCTCCTCATTCTTTCGACATTCCTTCCTTCATATCTGCAATGTCTTTTGACTTACAGCTTGCAGTTACAGATCCAAAGTTCCCTTCACAGGGGTATACAGGTAGCATTCACGGCACTCCGGGGCCCCGGCCGGATTGATTATTCTGAGGAATTAACGCACCTTGAAAACACCCGTGGAATGTGGGCTCACTGTTGGTGATAAAAGTGCGGCTTTATTTTATGGAGGAAATAGTCCATGAAAACTCCTTCTTTTTACATTTACTAAAAGCAGGAATATCGTCTGCAGCAGTAATGCGCTCATTAAGCTAATTTCAGTTCTCCTCCTCTGGCTCCTAAGGAAGCCATCAGGACTATTTCCCGCTCGGTTTTAGCAGGAGCCTGTCAAACTGCTTTCTGTGCTGTCTGAAGGGGCTCTTGAATGTTGCTGTCTAAAACGAGATTGGCCAGAACCGGTGTGGCTCAGTGGATAGAGCGTCGGCCTGCGGACTGAGGGGTCCCAGATTCGATTCCGGTCAAAGGGCATGTGCATTGCTTGCGGGCACATCCCCAGTGGGGAGTGTGCAGGAGGCAGCTGGTTGATATTTCTCTCTCATCATTTCTAGCTCTCTATCCCTCTCCCTTCCTCTCTGTGGAAAAATCAATAAAATATATCAAAAAAATAAATTAATTAAAAAAAAATAAAACAAGATTGGAAAGACTGCTCCTTGCATATCTGTACTTACCATAATCATGTCACCAAAGTCCTTTCGTTTCCTCACAAAGACATCATCTGAAGTTCATGTTTCCTATAAAAAGAATAAATGGCTAACATCGATTTTTTTTTTGTTTGTTTGTTTGAGATAATGGATTCTATTGGCCCGCGTTCAGGAATGCCCAGGAGAGACTATAGAGTTGTTTGGCCCTAAAAGCCTTGAGTTATAAAAAGAACGGGCAGGATCTGTAATGCTTACGCAGAGCACATTATCCGGCTGGACCTGGAGCTCGTGTGGGTATTGAGGCCATCGATCAGCTGACTGAGATTACAGGCTTGCGTCCTCACTCACAGGGACCTGAAGCCAGCAAGCCGCTGGCCTCTGCAGTGTGAGGCCCACAATGCCCACCTGTGCCATCACCCGCAGCTGCCCAGGCAGGTGGCTGGCAGGCTGACCTGTGGACCAGCCTGCTGCCAGGGACCTTGCCAAGGCCTCCCGCTCCTGCCTGGCTCCGCCTGGCCCCTTCCTCCTCCTCCCTGTCCTGCAGAGCCTGGTCGCTCCTAATGGCTCAGGTTTTTGTTTGTCTTTGCTCCTATGTAAGGGGAGGGGTGGGGTGGAGGCAGGAGAGAGGGATCCCAAGTGCAAACCAGAGGAAACAGGGAAAAGGGGTGGAGGGTGGTGAGTCTGAAGAGTTATTAGACAGCAGACTTGTTTTTGAGGGGCCAGAAAGTCAACACTTTAGACTTTGGGGTCTGATGCAAACACTCAGTTCTGTCATGGTGGCCCAGAAGCAGCTGTGAGTGAATGGCTGTTTCCCAATTGAATTATTGCATTCAAATAGGCAGAGGGGCTGAAACCAGTTTGGCTCAGTGGATAGAGCGTCGGCCTGCAAACTGAAGGGTCCAGGTTCGATTCCAGTCAAGGGCATGTACAGTGGTTGCGGGCACATCCCCAGTAGGGTGTGTGCAGGAGGCAGCTGGTTGATGTTTCTCTCTCATCGACATTTCTAGCTCTCTATCCCTCTCCCTTCCTTTCTGTGGAAAATCTATAAAATATATATTTTTTTTTAAATAGGCAAAGGGCTTTTGGCTGACGGCCATGGTTTGCCAGCCTGTGCACACCACCAGGTAACCAGCCCAGAGTGACTGGCTCTGAGAGTCTGGAGGAGAATCCTTGGGATATTCTAAGCATCAAGCATTCCTTAGCAAATGTGTCACTCCCCCTGAGGGCAGCACTGGTCATGATTTTGAAAGTGGGTATCAGATACATTTTGAGTCCCTCGTGCTTATTTCTTTGAAATTACCGATGAATGGAAAACGCAGCGGTAGATTACCAGCCTCTGTTACAAAGCAAAACCCAGCATGAATGACTAAGCAGCGAAGGGTTGTAAGTGATCGTTCTACAGGGTACGTGGCAGGGAGAGGGGCAGTTACGGGGCCTGGTCTGGTCTCGGCCCACTGCCTCTGTGCTGCCTGGCCCAGAGCCAGTTCAGAGCTTTAGAAATACTCATCCGTCATCGGCGTAGAACTGATCATATTCTGTCCCATTTCGATGATTAACTGTGATTTTACATCCATAATAGAAATTCAAACACCCGTTGAATTGCATTAGCCTGGCTGCCATTACATGTAAAATGCCACGGGCATTCCCCACCTGATTGAACGAGTGGTTCCTGTCGCCCTGCCAGGTGGTTCCAGCCGCGGGCCTGGTCTCCATATTGAAGAAGAGGAATGACGCAGTAGGAGGCCCCGCCCAGATGCAGCAGAAGCCGGCCAAGCGGAGAGTGCGGTTCCAGGAAATAGATGACAACTTGGACCAGGGTGGGTACCGCCCAGCGCCGGTCTGACACAGGGCCACTACCCGTGTCTGCTGGGAAGGAGGCAGTGCCTCACGAGAGGTAACGGAATCTGTGAAGGAGTACGTGGGCACAGTTGTTTTATCTTCTCGAAGGAAGCAGAGAACGGGACTGTCATCGGTTCTTAACCGATTCCTAAGCGTTGTGTTTGCTCAGATAAGTGAACAAGTTGCAAAATTCATCTCCCGGCCTTCCGACCCCACAGGCAGGGCTCGGTGTTCGGAGCTCATTTCTATTAACTTGTTTGGTGTGTTGTTGGGTTTCTTAGTGAGGCTGCCTCTTCTTTTTTTTGTTAATATCTTACATTTTATTCTTTTTAAAAAATACATATTTTATTAATTTTTTACAGAGAGGAAGAGAGAGGGATAGAGAGTTAGAAACATCGAAGAGAGAGAATCATCAATCAGCTGCCTCTTGCACACCCCTTACTGGAAATGTGCCTGCAACCAAGGTACATGTCCTTGACGGGAATCAAACCTGGGACCTTTCAGTCCGCAGGCCTGAGCCAAACCAGTTTCGGTGAGACTGCTACTTCTGTCTTCTTTTCAGCAGCAGTTAATTCTCCTATTTCATATGTGTGGGAAACGTTTATGGGGCACAAGTTTATTCTTGCCAGTGATTTCTTTATACACACACACACACACACACACACATTTATATATGTATATGTATTTGTATATGTATATGTATATATATATATGTATATGTATATAATTGATTTTGTTTTACAGAGAAGAAGGGAAAGGGATAGAGAGTTAGAGAGATCGATGAGAGAGAATCATCTATCAGCTGCCTCCTGCACACTCCCTACTGGGGATGTGCCCAAAACCAAGATACATGCCCTTGACTGGAATCGAACCTGGGACCTTTCAGTCTGCAGGCCGATGCTCTATCCACTGAGCCAAACCAGTAAAGGTTCTTCAGTGATTTCTTGACTCCACAGAAGGAAGTCTCCCTTAAGGGCAGCAATTTAACACGGTTGCTGTTGTTGGACTTTCCTCCTGGGCCGCTAGGTAGATGCAAGGTTTCCCAAAGGCAAATAAGAGTGAATAGAAATAGAGCCAAAACCTGTGTGTATGCTTCTTCTTTTTTTTTTTTTTATAAAAGAACAGTGGACACATGTACATATACTTGCTAAGTATGGCATAAAGTGAGGGAGGTTTGTAGACTCATACAATCAGGAGCCTTGGGAATAATCTGTTCCCACCCTCCTTTTAGCTCTGCACCTTGCTTGTAACTCTCACTTTCTTCTCCAGATAAGATGCGTAATTCTGTGGGCTCTAATGGGCCCTGAATGGTCCCCCTCCCCGGAGGAACCCAGGTTCAGAGCTGACATCCTGGTTCACCCTCTCATCTTAGACCAGGTCTCGTCACCTGTGCTCAGCAGCCACGGGGGGCCTCTGCACAGTGTTTCCATTCATGTAGATAAAGCAAACACATGTTTATAAGTAAATTATCATCCATGTAAAAGCCAAGCGACCGGAATGATGGAATGACCGGAACAACTTCCCACGGCCCCTCCCCCGTCTTGGGGCAGGATGGCTGGACGCCACTTGTGCATGAATTTGCGCTCCGGGTCTCTAGTTTATAGGACTACGAAGGAAAACATGGAGGTGTGCAGGAGGCTCTATTCCCAAAGAAGCACTGCCTTTCTTTCTTCTTTTTTTATGGAAGTGATCATGGTCATTCTGCAGAGGAGCTGCTTTTTTTTTTTTTTTTTAATATATATATTTTATCGATTTTTCACAGGGAGGAAGAGAGAAGGATAGAGAGCTAGAAACATCGATGATGAGAGAAACATCGGCCAGCTGCCTCCTGCACACCCCCTACTGGGGATGTGCCCGCAACCAATGCACATGCCCTGGACCGGAATCTTACCCGGGACCTTTCAGTCCATAGACCGATGCTCTATCCACTGAGCCACACGGGTCTCGGAGAGGAGCTGCTTTTAAGTGGAGCGTTGCCGGGCTGCAGGGGGCATCCTGTACGGCGGCCAATCAGCAGGCCCTTGCAGAACAGAAGTGCCCTGGCTTTCCGGCCATGAGTCTGTCTGTCCCGAGAGGACTCAGAAACACCTGATCTTCATCGGAGAAGACCGGGGGCGCTCGGGTTTCCGTTCGTGCGGCCTAACCCCCCTCTGTTCTCCCGTTCGCAGATGAGCCCGGAAGCGGCTCCTGCCTCCTGCTGGTCCTGCTGTGCATAGCCACGGTGCTCCTGAGCGTCGGGGGGACGGCGCTGTACTGCGCCTTCGGGGACCTGGCGTCCCCCGTGTGCACGGACTTCGCCCACAACGTGGACTTCTACTACACGAAGCTGCTGCGGGGCGTGGCGGGGCTGAAGCACTGGGTCTACCTCTCCTAGCGCCCGGCGGGCCCGCACAGGGCGGCCGGGACCAGAGGGAAGCTTTCCAGACGGCTTTTATTTGGGGAGTGTGGAGCGCCTGAAGACCCGTGGTCAGCAGCAACAGAGCTTCCGAGGCTCTGATCCTGGGGGGCTTGGAGCCATCGGCGCAGGAAGCAGAGTGGACTGCGCAGTGGGTGCAGGAACGCCTGCGGGGAACACCCCAGGCCCTGCTGCAGCCTCCACAGCGACTGCCCTGAGCCCCGTTAACTGGGGAGGTCGCAGCCACGTGTCTTCGGCTGCCCTGTCCAACCAACCCTCCGAGGACACTGGGCTCCTCTCGCTGGCCCCAAGACAGCGCTTCCGGCCATCACGCAATAAGTGTGGGTGTGATCAGAAGGCGTCCCCTTCAGCGTCGTGTGTGTGTGTTCCGTTAGCCCGGAGCGCCGTGGGCCCTGTGCGCCGTTCACACGTTCTGTTCTCCGTCTGTGGACCGGTGGTGTGTACGTGCGTGTGCGCGGGTGCGAGCATGTGTTCCGGTTCATCATAGCGAATACCCAACGCACAACAACAACAAATGACCTTTATTCTTCTACCTTGACGATAGATGTGCAGGCACAACTCCTCAGAGCAGGTTGAACGGTTGTAGAGACCTTGGCCCTGAAATGGGACACTGGGACAGATCTGCGGCAATTAAGGTGATTAACAAGCCGGGAATTAATTACAGACCCGGAGGAGGAGAAATGAAAGCGCTCCCTGAGTCTCAGGCCGGCGGTGTGATCGTAGATTCGACACCTCGTGGAGTGTGATGGATGTGGGACTCAGTCTGGCAAACACTCACGGAGCATCTGTTAGGTTCTGAGTCTTAAGAACTAAAATGCAAAGATCATGCGATGCCAGTTCCCACTCTAGATGTTTTCATCCTGGCCTTATGTTTAAAAAAAAAACAACAAAAACAGCTTTGGCAATTGAAATGAAATCACCACATAACCCAGTGTTCCCAGGTCATGCATTCCGAGGTCAGAATGTACGTTCATGTCACAGGCTCCATTCGGCCCTTTTATGGGGTCATTAAGCAAAAATCCCATCATGTCTTAAGCAAGCCAACGTCTGGATTTTGTTTAAATCTGTCAGTCACGTGGCATTTCCTTCTCTAAGGTCTATCATTTACGAAGCCTTGCTGTGGCTTTTTATACCATAGGCAGCGTTTTAAAAGAAACAGAACATGAATTATAGTTTTTTAGCGGGTGATCATTTGCTTCATGTTTTCCCGTCAGAATCACGTGAAAGGAAAAGGGAGGAGTTCCTTCCTCGTTGTTACTGGCTGGTACAGTACCCTCGTGTTCTGCTTATTTATTTGGATTATGTGAGTTTTGAAGGGCTTTTTACTTGTGTTGAACGTGTGTTTTTGAGCATGCCTTCGGTTTTCCCAATGTAGGTATCTGATTACTGTGTACGTAGTACTTTGATTTCCTATCAATTCAGTTCCCCATGTTTTTAGCCTTGTTTATTTTTAAATTGATGTTTGATTTTCACTCATAATACTGTTTGACTGTCTCGTGTCACCCATAAACTGTAATATTTTCAAGGATTATAGATCAAAGATATTTATTTAGAAGTATACGAGATGCTGAAATTTAGATTCCTTATGCATAAGGCTGATTTTATTAGAAGGTTATTTTAATGGTCTATTATAAATTTTAAGAATTTGTACTCAAGCTGTATGCAACATATGTAAATGTCCACGGTACTGTCTGAGGTGGTTCCACAGCACCGCGTCTGCCCGGAGGGGTCCCCTCTTCTGCGTCACCCCCTTGGCTCCTGGTTATGAGAATCTGATGAGTCTGGTCTCTGACGGTTTTATGTGAAGATCAATCCAAGCTTCGTCCTGTTCCCCCCTCTGAGTCGCTGTGGCAGTCCTAAGGACCCCGAGGGTCTGCTTCTCCACACCAAAGGTCTCCTGGGAACCTTGGCGCTGAGCTGAGAGGACCAAGGCGACACCCGGGTCCTCGGAGCCCAGTGGGTCTCAGAGGAAGCAGGTGTGTCCTCGCACTTCCCAGGGGGGGAGAGGGGGGAGGTGTGCCCAGGAGCACGGTGAGGTCTGGGCTTGAGACAGGCATGAAAATGCCAACTGGACAAAGTAGGGCACTGCTTACAGTGTGATCGTCGTCCATCGCATGAGTCGGAGTAATCCCATCTGGTGGTGAAAGCATTGTTCTCGCACACGTGGAAACTCATCCGGCTGTCCTCTGAGGTGATCATGTGACAGTCCGGACAACTGCTTGTAACTACTCTTCCTTGAGAACTGTACTGGAGGGTAACCGGTCAAGCTTGTCACTTAAACTCTTCACCAACCAACGCTGTCTCCGAGCGTTTCTTTGGGTCCCCGGGTGCGGAAAAACACTGCCGTGAAGTAAAATACTTCAGAAGCTGGTCTGGGCCCACAAGGAGAGAGTGGTCTGTGTCGGGAAGTCAAGCAGGTCCCTACCTAAGGGCTCTCTGCTCTCAAAGGACCTCCCGGTCTGCCCGGCATGGTAGCTGGGATTTGCTCTAGGAATCCACTCCTTTTATAATAAATAGTCCATTCCTCTAGGTTTAAAAATCTGAGTCCTCAGGAAGCTTACTGTAAGCCGTGAATGTGTGTATTATGCTGAGAGGACCTGATGGGGAGGATGGGGGTGGGCAGAACTGAGCGGTGAAGAAAGCACGTGGGCCAGAATAAGCCCGTTAGCTATTAACCTGTTTGGCTAACGCTGGCTTGTGGCATTCACTCCCAATCCAGAGAGAGGCTGGATTTCTGTCCCCCCGTTCACATGGCACGTACTTCGGTTCATTTCCGTTGGCTCAGTTAATACCCACCCTGTGTCCTTCCGGCAGCATGATAGAGTTCTCTTGTTCTTTCATCTGATGCTTAGATCACTGAGCTTACATTCCCTGAAGTCCGGGTCTTGTAACTCCAAAATCCAGTTTGAGGTCCATTCTATCACATTGCTTCCTCCTCAGAAAGAGCTGGTGACCTGGGGTCTGTCCGGTACTGTCTGCTATTTTAGCAACTTCAAAGACAGTTATCACTGAGCCTCCTGAACTAAGCTACAGAGCAGAGAGCCTCCTTAAGGGGTTCTAATAAAAGGTATTCATTCCTGACTTCAGGCACTGAGAGAGGAGGTGTGGGAACCCGTGGTCTCCCCTGAGGAGGGTTACTCCCTGACTCACGGTGGTTCCCATGGCAACAAACCCATCGTATGTGGAAAACGCCTTTGACTCTGCACTCAAGCAGCGATTTCCAGCCTTGTTCACCTCATGACACACACAGCGATTACTAAAATTCTGCAGCACTCCAAAAAAGAAATTTCTTGACATCTGACACAAAAAGGTATAATTTTTACTGATTTACAAAAATACATATAATAATAGTAATTATCCCTTTTTGCTCCAAAGTGGCTTTTTTAAAAATGTGGTTCCTCTCCTTGTATGTAAGGATCTCTGGTACCAAGAAGGAACCAATCAACCCAGCTTTATTATGCAATGTGTCCAATGAGATTCAACTCTCATTCAATGATCTATATATTTATGACTCAATGCAGGGAGGACATTCACACCTGGACAGCTATTGTTGTGCAGGCTGCTGTCATCTTTGTTTGGCAATCTAACGGAAAAGAGCAGTGCCCTGGCTAAGGAGTGAGGCATTGCGTGTGTTAAAAACTAGCTCCTGATTGAAAAGCGCTGCACGCAAGTACCAGCTGTTTACCCTGCGGGTCTGAGGCGATGGAGCTGGGGCTGGCTGCCTCCGCTCTGCACCAGGAGGGAGGATAACAGGCTACATCACTAACCCGAGAAAAGGTCAAATTCACCATCTGAAGTACAGTTTCTCCTGATGGGTGTCACTTCCACACCACTATAAAGTCAAAAACTAGTCATCCTAAGCTGGGGACCCGCTGTATATATAATACCAAAGAATTACGAGACAGCTGCCAAAGCTAATAAACGAATGCAGCAAGATTCACATGGGGTACAAAATCAGCACACACAAACCAGTTGTGTTTCCAAATAGCTAACATTCTGGAAAGGGAAGTAAGGCAATTCCATTCACAACAGAATCTCAAAGAATAAAGGTTACCAAGGAGAAGACTTGTACACTGAAAACTACAAAAATTGCTGAAATTAAAGAATATCTAAATCCATCTATTCTGTGTTGATGGACAGGAAGACAATACATGGTGGGGCAAAAGTAGGTTTACAGTTATGAGTGCTCAAAACACAAGACTTGGTTCTTATATGATTTTTCATTAGTGTCTTATTTTCTAAATGAACAAATGTAAACCTACTTTTGTCTCACCCTGTATTGTTAAAATGTCAGTACTCCTCGGAGATCTACAGAGATTCAAGCAGAACCTATCAAAATCCTAACACCCTTCCACTTTTTTTTTCTTTCTGCAGAAATGAAAAAACTCATTACCAAATTTATATGGCATTGCAAGGGGACCCAAATAGCCAAAAGTCTTTTTTAAAAAAATATATATTTTATTGATTTTTACAGAGAAGAAGAGAGGGATAGAGAGTTAGAAACATCGATGAGAAAGAAACATTGATCAGCTGCCTCTTGCACATCCACTACTGGGGATATGCCCGCAACCAAGGTACATGCCCTTGTCCGGAATCAAACTTGGGACCTTTCAGTCCACAGGCCGAGGTTCTATCCACTGAGCCAAACCAGTTTGGGCTAGCCAAAATTCTTGAAAAAAGAAAGCCATATTTGGAGTACTTACATTTCTCCATGTCAAACCTTCCTACAAAATTACAATAATCAAAACAGTATGACACTAACATAAAGATAGGCATATAGACCAATGGAGGAGAATTGAGAGTCCACAGTTAAGCTCATATGCCTTTGGCTGGCTGATTTTTGATGAGGGTATCAGGTCCATATGCAAGAGAATGAAACTGGACTCCTGCCTCATACCATATACAAAAAGGAATGCAAAGTGGATGGATGAGCCTGGCTGGTGTGGCCTGCTGGTTGAGCATTGACCTATGAATCAGGAGGCCAGGGTTCAATTCCCAGTCAGGGGGCATGCAGGAAGTAGCCAATCAATGATTCTCTCTCATTATTGATGTTTCTATCTCTTCTCCCTTCCTCTCTGAAATCAATAAAAAATATATCTTTTAATCGATGAGTGACTGCCCTGGCTGGTGGGCTCAGAGGTAGAGCGTCAGCCTGTGCAGTACAGGGTCATGAGTTAGATTCCCAGTCAAGGGTATGTTATGTACTTGGGTTTTGATTTGCTCCCCAGTCCCAGTTGGGGCATGTGGGGCAACCAGTCGATGTCTCTCTCTCACATGGATGTTTCTGTCTCTAACTCTCCCCCTCCCTCCCACTCCTTCTGAAAAAGCAATGGGAAAAAAATATCCTCAGATGAGGATTAATGAAAAAAAATTTTTTTAATGGATTGATGATCTAAATATAAACTATAGTAAATCCATAAAACTCTTAGGGAACATAAGGGTAAATCTTCATGACTAGGCATTTGGCAATGGATTCTTAGATAGGACACCAAAAACACAAGCAACAAAAGAAAAAAAAATAGGTAAATTGGGTTTCATCAAGACTTTTTAAAAATTTGTGTATCGCCGAAACCAGTTTGGCTCAGCGGTGGAGCGTCAGTCTGCAGACGGGGGGGTCCCGGGTTCGATTCCGGTCAAGGGCATATACATTGGTTGCGGGCACATCCCCAGTGGGGGGTGTGCAGGAGGCAGCTGGTCGATGTTTCTCTCTCACTGACGTTTCTAGCTCTCTATCTCTCTCCCTTTCTCTCTGTAAAAAATCAATAAAATATATATTTTTTTAAAATTTGTGTATCAAAGGAAATTATCAGGAAAATGAAAAGACAACTAATAGAATGGGAGAACATTTTTGCAAATTAAACATCTGGTAAGGCTTTAATATCCAGGCTATATAAAGAACTTCTAGAATTCAATAAAAAGTACAACAACCCAATGTAAACCAGTGCAGAGCCCTTGAATATACATATCTCCAAGGAAGATATGCAACGTTTTAAAAATATAATATGGTGGTGAATGCACTTGATGCCACTGAATTGTACACTTAAAAATGGTTCAAGATGCTAAAACCGGTGTGGCTAAGTGGATAGAGCGTTGGCCTACGGACTCAAAGGTCCCAGGTTCGATTACAATCAAGGGCATGTACCTTGGTTGCGGGTACATCCCCAGTGGGAGGTTGGGGATGCAGGAGGCAACTCCTCTCTCATCGATGTTTCTAACTTTCTATCCCTCTCCCTTCCTCTCTGTAAAAAGTCAATAAAATATATATTTTTAAAAAGTGGTTCAAGCGGCAACTTCTATGTTACACGTATTTTACCCCATACATGTACATACACACAAAAAGCTGGCACTCCCAAGTGTTGGTGAGGCTGTGGGACAGCCAAATCCTCACAGGCAACTGGTGAGACTATGAAATGATACAAGCACTTTGGAAAACAGCTTGTCTGTTTCTTATAAAGTCCAGTGCCCACCTGCTGTGTGCCCCAGCAATCCCACACCTGGCTTTGTCCATAGCAGCCAAGAAATGGAACCCCCTCCCTTCCTTATCACAATAGAAACCTATTTAACAGTAAAAAATAGTACAGTATGGATACATAAGTGACATAAATAAATCTCAAAAAAACATTCTGAGTGAAAGAAACCAGGGGGAAAAAGTACATAGTGTATGTTTCCGTTTTATAAAAAATGTTAGAGCCCTCACCAGTTTGGCTCCGTGAATAGAGTGTCAGCCTGCGGGCTCAAGGGTCCCAGGTTCGATTCCGGTCAAGGGCATGTACCTTGGTTGCGGGCAGCTGATCAATGATTCTCTCTCATCGATGTTGCTCTCTATTCCTCTCCCTTCCTCTCTGTAAAAAATCAACAAAATAGCTGAAGCCGGTTTGGCTCAGTGGATAGAGCGTCGGTCTGCGGACTGAAAGGTCCCAGGTTCTATTCCGGTCAAGGGCATGTGCATTGGTTGCGGGCACATCCCCGGTAGGGGGTGTGCAGGAGGCAGCTGGTTGATGTTTCTCATCGATGTTTCTAGCTCTCTATCCCTCTCCCTTCCTCTCTGTAAAAAATCAATAAAATATATATTTTTTAAATCAATAAAATATATTTTTTTAAACGTTAAAAAATGTAAACCCATTCATAGTGACAGAAACAGACCAGTGGTCCCTTGAGCAGCAAAGGATGCAGGGAAGTTGGTCCAGGACACCTTTGGG